GCGGGCGGCGGCAGCGGCGGCGGCGGCGGCGGCTGCGCCGGGGGCGGGGGGGTCGCCCTCTCCCTCTGGTACTCTTTCTCGGAGCAGGCCGCGGATCGCGTCTTTTCCACCGCTATCGACTCGGTCACTTGCTGCGAGAGAATCGCGGACACCCCGGGGCCCAGCCAAAGACGCGACCGGCCCTGTGACGGCGCAGAAGGCAGCTGCAGCGACCCGATGTACCGGTTGATGGCCTCCTCGATCAGAGCGGACCACTGGCGGGTGAGAGGCCGGCAGCCGGGAGGCAGATCCACGCGCTCGGTGTCCGGCTGCACGTCGGGCATCGCGGTGTATGTTCCAACCGGCGAGTCATCTGTCGTGAAGAGGTCGAGCGACAAGTCGGGCGTGACGAGGTCGAGCGAAGAGTCGGGAAACGCATCAAGGCTGTGCTCGGCCGGGAGGAGGTTGCGGAGGGCCGCCAGCACGAGCAGCAGAAGCAGCGGAAAGGCGAGCCGCGGGTGGGCACGCGTGTACTTCTGAGACGGTTGGAGGGTGGTCTGCATGTCGCGCGGTGGCGAGGAGAGCTCCGCTAGCAGCTCCGCCTCCGCCTCGGTGAGCGGCGAGCCACCGTCCGCCGGCAAGTGTCCCTTCGCCGCCGTCCGCTGGTCGAGCTGCTGGGTCCCGGGGGGGGTTCCCCTCCCGCATCCCGTTCGCCCAGCTGGAGCGCATCACCGCATCGCCGCCGTCTTCATCATTCTTCCCACATTCACGCGGTCACTAGTCGCAACTAATCCGATCACTATAAGTCTGGTACGTACGTATAGTGTCGGTCCCGGACTCGAGCATACATTGATGCTCTATGGATGATGAGAAGTGCGCGAGGTCCAGGGGTCTCGCGCACCCTCCCGGCCAGGCCGGTAGGAGCCGGGGCGGCACTCGTATAGCAAGGCCCGTGGGGCGCTCGCCGTCTTCATCAGACCAACGACGAGGGCTGTCGGCAACACACAAGCCTCTCTCACAGCAGACTGGCACGACAAGGGCGCGGAAAGAAAGAAAACAGACAGGAAGAGAGTGATTGATTGTTGTTGAGAGTGATGGGAGGACGGCACGCCGCCACCACACAGGGATTTTAAGTGCCCAGTGTCGTGCGAGTCAGATCAAAATTCTTCTTTTGATCGGCTTCCCGTCCCGACCTACTGTGTTTTTGTTTTTGCTTCGGTAGTCGCAAAAAAAACTAGCAACAAGTACATGTAACATGGGGGCTAGTCGCCGACCACACCCACAAAGAACCCTGCACAAAGATCGCAAGGGCGGGGACCTGTTCCTTTTTACCCATCTCACACTAGAGAGGTGTCCGTTTTATTTATTGGATTTTGGATTTTCCACTACACTTTGTTTATTTATTTATTTAACATGGGGGGGGTCGCAGTCACAGCTGGAATGACTACCGGTCGTGGACATGGGGCTATGCCGCTCACAGCCGATGTCGGCCGCGTGCAGGGGGTATGCTAGCCATGCACAAGCCTAGTACGAACCCTGCACAAAGTAATCGCGGACAGCAGGGCCAGCCGTGAACCCGAGGGCCGTTGATTCGCCGCAGGCCCCGCCGGTCACGACAGCGAGGATGGAGATGTTGGTTTCGCCGGCCGCGACAGCGGGATCCAAGTCCCGGTGGGGAATGCGGTGGAACCAGCAGTCCTGCGTTGACCTTCCCAAGCCTTCGAGCGTTGCGAAAGTCGCCTCGCCCTCTGGCATCTCTTGGGCGCAATTGAAGAACTGGTGCGCCACGCGCGCTCTGCGTTGGCCATCCGCTTCCTGAATCGAGCACTTAGGAGTGTAGCCACTTCGGAGTGTAGTTGGCGCCGCGAAGATGGAGTGTAGCCACGCATACATCAGGGCATGCTATTGCGAAGGCGGGCGCCCGATATTTAGCCGTCCGATATTCGCCGTCGCCGATCGCCGGTTTGTCGTTCCTTGGATTGATTTCCTGGATACATCGCGTTTTGGCTGTGTCGATAAGGTACTGACTGGAGATGAAGTGCATACACCCCTCTCGCGCATGCAAGACATGACCGTCCGGCGTTCGCCTCGAACATGTCGCTCCGCTGGCAAGTCGCCGCCTTCCGCACGCGCCGTCCGCTGGTCGGGTGATGGTGCGTCCGCTTGGTTTTCTTTACGTCATATCTGGGCAACCAGACAACAAACACAATTACGTCTTCGGATCCTATCTGGGTAAGAGGATACGGGTCACTTAAAAGAAAGAAAGAAAACACACAACCCAAGGGAGGGATGGGAGAACTTGTACTCGAGTAGGCGCGTGATTTTTCTTCAGCCCCAGCCGGCCTGAAGGCGGGGTGCTACGTCGCGTACACCCGCGTACACCC